GTTCACTGATAAACTATTCAATGATATTCTATCGGTATGTTCGACAGTTTGTGACCTCCAGATCACTTTTTGTGATCAACGAGTGAGCGAAATCGAAGGTAATAATAATGATGATGATTCAACCAGCATTGCAAACTTGTATGAAACTCAAAAGGCCACACTTTTTCAATTCCAAGCCATTTATACATGTCATATGTCTTTATTGACTAATGGATCTTCCAAACATATCTGAAAAAAAAGGAATATCTAACACATTTGTCCATTTGGTCTGCAAAATGTCAACTGGTAAAACACTTTAAAATTCAAATTGTCGATAATCATAGACTTCCTGTCTTCCACAGTTCATTTAATCTCTTGAAGAATATCATACCATGCTTTACTTATCACAAATTATAAAAGTTTTAAATCAACATGTAGAGAAGTTTTCAATTTCAAAGGTGTAAGTTTGGATATAAATCTTATCCTTCCCAAGCCTCACTCATGCTTACACCACCCTCTTATCAAAAGCTTAAAGAAAGTGTCTCTCTATATGCATCGCTAGTAAAAATGATGTTCAATGTTCCTGCACTATTACATCATTCTTCAACTAATATCATACTCATAAAATTTCTATAGGAGCTATATATTATGACCTATTACAATAACATCAGATCATATTTGTCTCTGATGTGTATTTTCTTCTTGATCTTCTCTTGATTTCTCTCCTACTCTTTTCTTCTTTTACCTGATTCCCTGTCCCACTGGAAAAATATCGAATTATGAGAGATTTCAGTAGATTATAATCGGATTTTTCTGCAACAAAATTCAAATTAAAATCGATTGAAATCTTCGAAATCAACAATAATTCGATTTTTAATCAAACAACAATCCTTACAATCTGGAAAAAATGTGGATTAAAATCATGCAGTTTTGATTAAAATTATATAGACCTGATTTATTTCGATTATAATCCGAATCTTTCTGAATTTTAAAGATTTTTGATTGGTTGTGAATCGGATTATTGTTGATTTCGAAGATTTTAATCGATTATAATTTAGATTTTGTTTCAGAAAAATTCAATTATAATCTACTGAAACCTTCCATAATCTAATATTTTTTCACTGGGGTGTGATATCTACCTGTTTTTATTGAGCGACCATATACTCATAAAGATATGTTCAATTATCTTGAATCATAAAGTATGACAATAATGCCCTATCCAACTAACACCCTAGATTTAGCACAATTTCGTTTTTAGTTATTGAACTTAGTCAAACAAAATCCAAGCGATCAAAATGATTTATAAGCGTTGCATCGTTCTGTAATCCTCTTTACGAACTCTGTAAATAAACAAGATCATAGAAAAAGATGTTCTATAATAAATGTATTCAACCGATGCAATTGTGTGTTGATAACCATGGAGATTATTTTAAACATTTAATGAAACAAAAAGTTTAACGAACTTGTTTCTGTATCTCCTTTTATACAGTTGGCACCTCTAGTATACACAGACGACTAGTTATTAAAGGAGACGACAAAAAAAAGAAAAACGAGAGGATAAGAGTCATGAGAAGGCCAAGAAGAGAATATATATCGAAGGCAAATATGAAATGATGTTATCGTCACATATCATAATAAATAGATCTTATCCTCGAAATTTCATTGTTATAATATTAGTTACAGAATGATGTAAGAGCGTAAAAAAATACAGCGTCGTTTTTATTGTCATTTCATATAGAGTCAGTTTCTATAAATCTGTAATTAGGAGTTAAAATACATTTACTATTGCTTTTGACATGATCTAAGTAAAGTTCTTCCCTTTCTAATCAAAAATGTTCATATTAGTTTCCTTCAACAATTTCAAACGCGTGGCATGTCTTTCTTCGATATTTTTTCGTAGGTGTTTATTTTTTCGACATTTTTCGTTCATCCTTTTTTCATTGTATAAAGCAACTTTATTCTTCGTGTGTTTCATAAGTACCTTTACTGTCTTTTTTTGTTAATCATGAGCAATGAATCATCTAAACATTCCACAGGAAGACAAATTTTATAACTCGTTTTTGTTTTTTGTTCATCTTGCTTAAACATTGACTGTCTATTTTTTTGTAATCATGAACAGTAGGTTTCTTAACGGTCCAAAAAACTTCTCGTATGAATGCTTTATTAGAAATCTAATTTTTCGTGGCATCTTTCAATTTTCAATCAAAAAAAGTCATTTTCAACCGTTTTTTTCTGTCTTTGTCGACTAAATAATCGGAAATCTTTTACAAAATTGCAACCTAATATTAAAATACATCAAAACATATTATATCAACTCTACAAGCAACATTAGCTGATACTTATTTAACATTACAGTTTTCACGTATTGGTGGTCCAACACGTTTACCTTTAGCTAAAGCATTTACAAAATTATCTGATGGTAAACATTTAAATTATGATTTTGTTGAATGCATGCCTATACGTGCATTTCGAATCGTACTGTCAGAAACAAATGGAAATATGATGATTGATGGTGAAAAAGTACCTTATGGTAAAACGAAATTTAAATTTAAAAAAAATAAAGAAAAGTCTTTTTGTTTTAAGGTTCTATTCAAGGTCAGGTGTTACCAAGTATTGCTCGATGTATGGGTAAACAACCCAAAAATGATTAAAATGGATAAAACCTGTTTTCTTCCAAGTGATTCAGATAAAGTCTTCAGTGTACAAGGAAAACGTAAACCGAGTTCTTTCTATCGACTTTTCTATTTTATATACATTATGAAGCTTTCACAACATATATATCTATATGTCTTTCCTTTGTTTTATTTTTTTTGAAGTGTGAACTGATCATTGTGATAAAAAAAAATAAGAAAAACAATACACAGTATTTATTGACTCTTTGAAATAAACTTATTATAAATCTGTTTACATAAATTAATTGTAATTGGAAGTTGAAGATCGTCTTATAAATATCAGAAGTAATAAAAAATATTGATGATTGATCAATAGTATAATGAAATGGATATATGAATCGAATAAGATTTCATCAACAAATATATTTTGTTGATAGTGTAAAAACATCTGACAAAGGATTAAATAGAAGACCTTTATCATCATATCGAAGACCAACATAATTCATTGAATAAATCCATTTTCACCAGTAAGAAAATGAGAAGTGAAACTATTTAAGAAAAGTCACTATCCGACAAAATCAATATTTGAAGAAAAGAAGTTTTTAGTTTGTTGAAACTTTGATCGTATACTAAAACGCAACTTGATCAAAAATCAATTCATAGACAAATTCTAGAATTGGAAACAAATTAATCATATAATCAATGAATAAAGAGAATCACCAACTGTATTTCGTACATGAAATTCTCCTTATGTAGATGTTTGCACAGATCGATTAAACTCATCGGTAGCTTTAAACGGTTCATTTAATAGAAGTCATACAATACGATGAATAGGATCAGTCATGCTAATATTTCCTTAAATAACGCTAACCTTCATTCGATCAGTTAGATATAAGACATCTAGACCACTTAAAATCATAAAGAAAAAACAAATAAGAATAGAAAAAAAAAACAATACATATGGAATTTGTTTTTCATCAAAACTAATTTACCATCATCGGATTGAATGTGTTTATGTTGTATAATTAAAATTAATTTTGAGTTTCGTTAGCAATAGTTTTCCATTTTGAATTAACATTAAATTCAAACAGATTTTCAATTTATATTGAAAAAGTTAATGATACAATAGTCAATGTATTTGCGCTTGTATTGCATTATTAATATCAATATCACCACATGTCATTTATTTCTTATCACACGATTTATTAATAGCCATTACTTTACTTGTTGAATACGACATATAAGTTTTATTCGTTATAAGACTAGACCAAAATCGAGCTAGATTACGTAAAAGTAGTTAACAAATATTTTCTAACTACAGCGATCATGTGTAGTAAAATAATACATTGGTATAGCTACTGCTACATTACCAGTTATATTGTTGCTCCAAACAATCTTTCCAATCACCTTTTCTATTACAACAACCCTATGATATCTACATAATAATTAATTAATACTGTTCCATCTACTAAGATGGATGCTGTATGTCGATATCGTGAAGCATTCATATCACCAGTCCTAGTGCAAGTTTCTAGTCATGAATCATAAAACTCAGTAGTATTCAGAGAAAAATTATTTGAACTACTAGTCTTTATCCAAGCTCCTGTTGATGAATTACATAACTCTACACTGTTGAAAGAAGAACTACCATTGTGTTCACCACTAACTAATACATTTTCATTTTTTAATACAGATGCTGCATGTCAATATCGTGCAATATTCATCCTACCAATGCTAATCCATTCTAGAAGAACCATTTCTATATCAATATATTTAGTTTGTAAAGCGGAGTACCATTGAACAATCAAGTTTGTCTGCTCAAAGGTGCAATATTTCAACATATTATAGAATAAGAATTGTTTCTTATTTTTAGTGCAAAAACTGTTACTGCTCTCAAAGACTAAGAGAAATTTTTTCATATAGCGTTATTTTTCAATTATGTGCAAATTCTGTCAGCTATAATTGAAGGATATTGAAACTAATAAGAAATCATAATTTCTCTTCAATCTTTCTATCATTCTTTGATCCTTGATATTACGACAATGCATTATCTACGACGTTTTTTCGCATCTACATTCAGATTTGTGGAATGTTCTCCAGAAATGAACACATAATAACAAACAATGGATCGAAACAGATATTAAATTATGTAGTAGATTGTTGTTGTCTGATTATCTTAAACATTTCGGATGATTTCAGTTTTCATATTTAACTAGATTCCTCGGATATTCATCAATTTCTCTCTATTATATTATTTTCACTGTATTAAAAAAAACTAGTCAACGATGACTTTGTAAATATATACAATTGAATCTGATTGAGAATCGAAACAAAGAACTTAAGTCAATGCCTGTATATTCATAAATATTAGCAAAATGAGTCTTTGCCTGATTACAGAAGGGCGTGGATGTGAATGTGAGATAAGAAAATAGTTCTGCCAACACTCACCCAAACTTCACACCTATACCATACAATGAAGATTGAAAAAATAAAGAAAAATCGTTCACGATGATCTTCGAACATGGAAGGTCTCAATGTTTGGTCTTAGGATTATGAAAAAAAATAGTGACAGCGGTGAGATTCGAACTCACGCCCTTTCGGACCGGTGCCTTAAACCGGCGCCTTAGACCGCTCGGCCACGCTGCCTTCTTAATCCCCTAATAAAATCGGCTTTAATAATAAAATAAAGAGCCATTATTTATTATTGACACATTTCATATATATGTATGTATAATAAATTCAATTATTTTCCTATCAGATATCGTTTGATTGACAAACAGAAGCGCAGATTTTTGCAAAAATTACTAATTTATAATTCTTACTAAATATGATATCCCGACAACAGAATAAGAAAAGGAACTTTTTTTTTGATCTCGAAAATATAAACATTAAAAAGATAACAAAGTCTTTGAATCAACATAAGCAGTATTTTGCCTTCGAGAATTTATTATTTATAAAATATTGATAATAGTTTATACTCGATAGTTCTACTTAAATTATCGTCACTATTCATTCTTTGCCTTCTCTCTTCTATGATTACGACAATAACATCTGCTGTTTAGTCACATACTATGAAATATATTTGATTTCACTTTACTAATCAAATTCAATATATATTTTTTGTAATGACTCAACATATCATATCAGGCATCAAAATCATTTCGATTTCGAATTTCAAACGATTATCTTGTTCAAAGAAAAAAACTTACCGATATAAACTGGAATGACTCAATCACTCTTATAATTCTTTTTTGAAAGGTTTTAAACATAAAAAATACTAACATATTTGTTTCAAAAGATATGGTGTGGGTGTGAGTGATAGAATAACGTACACTCACAAACCTACATCCACACCCAGAGATTTTATTCAATGATAAAGATCAAATTCCTATTGCTTTTAAACTTGATGATTTCCAAAGTCAAGTGTGTGCAAATGTTCAATGAATGCAGATTTCTGAAAAACATAAACATGGAAGAAATATTTTTTGATGAATTTAATTACATGAAGTACAGAATTTTGATTATCAATTATATTGATTCTAGACAAAAAATGATGATGTTGGACATTTTAGATTAAACATGCGTGTTGCAGATACATTTGATGTGAGTATTCGATTACTCCGAATCTCTCGTTTATATATTCAATTGCCCTCTTTAATTCTATTATCTTCCCATCAGAAAGGACAATAGAATGACTCAACACGAAATTTATCCTTCAAAAACCAATTAACATAGGGAACTTTGCCAAAGAATTCTACGTCGGATGTTATCTTTAGACAATTTCTGCTCAAGATAGTACATAATCGATATTGTTAAACATGTTAAGAGACTAGTGGATCTACGGTATAGTTCCATTATTTCAATTTAGAGAACTGAGATTTGATGCACGGAAAAAATGTCCTTATTGATCTGTACTCGAGCATTGAGTGCATTATGCATTCTTCGAAGGAGAGAAAGATTTATTTATCAACATTTTCTATGTAGCTAACCATGTGACGAGCAGAACATGAAGGAAAACTTGCGATATTTTCTTTTTCTTTTTCTGCTTATAACTGTATTTGTGATCTAATATTCAATTGCACTCATTGAACTGGATCAGGAGTGCATATTCACATTGAGCAGATGTCACAACCCGAATTGACTCGAACAGCAACGATGGAGATGACACATGTGTTGCAAACAAAGAAACGACATAGACATTTCTTCTTGTGCAACTTCTTTTCAGAAAACGAATGCTTCAATTCTTATCTCAGTATTCTGACAAGCAATATACTTTTCTAGCAACATGTTTTTTATGCTTTTTTCCAACACCTTTACAGGTGTTTGTCAAGGAATTTGTCAATGTTTTTGCATACAATGACTCTGTCGTCTTTTGTCGCAGAACCCATATCTTCGGAAACATATGAAAATCCACGAGATAATAAAAACAAAACTTTCCTATTGGTAATATTTCCAAGACAATACGTCTAATGTTACCAGTTCTGAAGAAGAAAATACACGACAATTATGAACACAAAAATTGCTTTCATTTTTTTCTATTACATTTTGAGAAGCGGAAGGGTAATAAGATTTATGCATATGCCTTTTTACTCTTCCTGTTGATAAAAAGCAGCTCGACGCTTTTTCATAAGAAAAAAAAGTGGAACATCTTCATAAATAGATTATTTGGGTGAAATGTTGTTCATCAACATAGTCTTGAATATCAAAATTAAATACAGAAGAACCAACATGAACGACAGTTTCTCGTCAAACTTCAACGCCAGAAAGGTAGAAACTATGAACATAAAGAAACTTATATTCCTGATATGCTGAATACGTAGAATCGATAAGAAAACGGACACAAGTTGAATAACTAATATTGCTTTGTTAAAAATAATGCTTTGTTCAGTTGTTAAATGAGAAAATCAGATGATTGAACTGACAAAGAAGATATTTCAGATTGACTTTCGTCGATACTTAAAATACCATCTGAGAAAGATCGATGTCTGTTGATCGGACAACACATAAAGAAAGATAAAATGATCGAAAGCCCTTATTCC